GAAAATTAAACTGCCAAAATTAAAGGAGCCGCCTTTGGAACTACAACAGCTCATTCATGGGACGGATGCACTTGCTAGGCATTTCCAAGAAAACATTCGTTCGTACAACAACATGTTTTCGTTCACTTCCACGTGAGGAAGGGTAGATAGAACACTGAACAAGGGTGGATCACCGCCAATCTTTAAACTGAGTGGACAAAACTATCACCTCATTGGGAGTTTGCTGCCCTAGGAAGGAAGTGTGCCGAAATTTGCACAATTGTATATATATGACACCCAGCATGAAGATATTAATCGTTTGAGCTCAGTGAGGTAAATGCACTTACCTTGAAACTCATAAATATATGTAATCATGCACACACGTTGTCCGTTATGAATATACGGTATTTTTTATTTTATATGGCATGTTATTTGGTTATATCATTTTAGGGATGATGAAAAGAAGAACAATTTGCATGCGCATATTGTGACTACATTAAGGAAAATGTTAGACCAACATAATGTTTTAGTTAAGTCGTTTAGGATGGTCAGAGATAAAGTACCTGAGGGTGGAGAAAAAAAAGTTTCTCTTAAGTTAATAGGGAGGAGAACCAAGGATGCCAGAACTTATTATTTACCCACAGTTTCTGAGGTCGCAGCTTTGGTGGTGGGTGATTTTGATGAATCACTTGGGCAAAGAGATATCATGGTTGAAACTCAAGGGGGGTATTTGAAAAGAATAAACGAGCTAAATCCAACGTATTTGGGATTGCAATATCCGCTTTTGTTTCCATATGGCGAGGATGGGTACAGGGAGGATATAGCCTTTTCTGATGAGAAATCGTCAAACACGTGTGGTCGACGGAGTGTTAGCATTAGAGAGTTTCTTGCTTACAAATTGCATGAACGAGCAAGCGAGGACTCTTTCATCTTTAAGAGTAGGAGACTATTCCAACAATTCATAGTTGATGGATACACAATGGTTGAGTCGTCAAGGCTAATGTATATTAGGACCCATCAAAAAGAACTGCGGTGTGAAATGTACAAAGGTCTATCAGATGCTTTGTTAAGCGGTGAGATGGATGCGTCAACACAGGGTAAGCGAGTTGTCCTTCCACCAACATTCGTTGGGGGCGCTCGATACATGGTTCAAAATTATCAGGACGCCATGACTATATGTCGGTGGGTAGGGTACCTAGATATGTTTTTGACTTTCACGTGTAACCCAAGATGGCCTGAAATTAATAAATTCCTTTCTTCAAGGAATTTGAATCCCGAAGATCGTCCAGATATAATTTGTCGAGTGTTTAAGATGAAGCTAAATGACTTGATCAAATACGTAAGACAAAGTAAAGTATTTGGACAAATTCGAGCAGGTATATTGAGTTCATCACATGTGTAGCTTCTTATAAATACACAGATATATATGTTTGTTTGTGTGTGTAATAAAAAAATAATTGTTATGTTGACTCCTCGCAGTGATTTACACAATCGAATTCCAAAAGCGTGGGCTACCACATGCTCATATTCTATTGTTCATGGGGAATGCAGACAAATTCCCCACCCCTGCAGACATTGACTGCATACTTTCAGCTGAAATACCTGATGAGGAGGCTGATCCTGATTATTTTAAAGCTGTGTGCACACATATGATGCACGGACCATGTGGCAGTGATGCAAGAAACGCCCCTTGCATGGTTCAGTCCAAATGTTCAAAGCACTTCCCTAAGAACTTCAACGAGCAAACTAATGTCGATGAAGAGGGTTATTCTAAATATAGGAGGCGGAATGATGGCAGAACAATTGTCAAAGGAAAAACACCACTTGACAATAGATATGTTGTGCCCCACAACAGAACATTGTTGATGAGGTACGGTGCTCATCTTAATGTGGAGTGGTGCAATCAATCGAGGTCAATAAAATATTTGTTTAAATACATGAACAAAGGAAATAATCGTGTCACAGCAGGATTTTATGAAACAACAGATAAAGATGAAACTGAGAAACCTGTTGATGAAATAAAAATGTACTATGATTGTCGGTATATTTCTCCATGTGAGGCAATGTGGAGAATATTTGGATTCGGAATTCAGTATAAGAATCCATGTGTTGAACGTTTGAGCTTTCACTTCCGTAATGAGCAGTATGTTTATTTTGAAGATGGTGCAACTGTAAGTGAAGTCGTGTTGCGAGAATCTGTCAAGGAGAGTATGTTTCTTGCATGGATGAGAGCAAATGTCGAGTACCCTGAGGCAAGGGATTTAACTTATGTTGAATTCCCTCAAAAGTTTGTTTGGAAAGCCAAAACAAGAGAATGGCAACCTCGGAAGCAGGGGTTTGCCATAGGCCGTCTAATGTATGTGCCTCCGGGATCAGGAGAAGCTTATTATTTGCGATGTGTCCTTAATTTGAGGCGTGGGGCTACAAGCTATGATGATCTTAGAACTGTGGATGGAATTACTCACAATACATACTGCGATGTGTGTTTCACGTTAGGGTTGTTGGATGATGACAAGGAGTACGTTGAAGGATTCTCAGAAGGTAGTTATTGGGCTACTGCATGGTTACTCAGAAAGTTATTTGTCATTTTATTATCAGCTGATACAATGAGTAGACCAGAATATGTGTGGGACAAATGTTGGACATTTATGTCAGATGACATTCTACACAGGCAAAGAAGAGTCTTAATGCATCCAGGTACTAAACAGTTCATATATTACATATACATATATATTTACAAACAAATATGTATATATACATATATGTATTGATATTCAAAACCTTACATAATATATTACACATGTTAGTTGATATGACTGTTTTGATGCATGTAATATCAGATTTGAAGTTGACCGAGTCTGAGATTAAGAATTATGCATTGACTGAAATAGAAATGATGTTAAGGAGAATTGGTAGGACTTTAAAGGACTATCCATCGATGCCATTTCCAACGACAAGTGATGCTACCATGTATCAGAACATGCTTATTTTTGACGAGTTACAGTACGATCGTGCTGCCCTTGCGTGAAGAGCATGACAGATGCATGCAGAGTCTCAATGATGAACAACGTCAAGTGTACATAACCATTATGCAATCTGTTGAACAAAATAATGGTGGGGTGTTCTTTGTATATGGTTATGGAGGTACAGGGAAAACATTTGTGTGGAAGACGTTGTCGGCTGCTTTGAGGTCCAAAGGAGAAATTGTTTTAAATGTTGCTTCGAGCGGCATAGCAGCTTTGTTGTTACCGGGTGGTAGGACGACACATTCACGCTTTGCAATACCAATCAACCCAAACAAAACTCCACATGCAACATCCACTGGCTCAATTGATAATTAGATGCAAGCTGATCATATGGGATGAGGCGCCGATGATGCACAAGTATTGCTTCGAAGCCTTAGATAGAAGTTTGCGGGACATCTTGAGATTCACTAATACAAATAGTGCTGAAAAACCCTTTGGGGGGAAAACAGTGGTCTTCGGGGGAGACTTCAGACAAATTTTACCTGTCGTTACTAAAGGTACTAGACAAGACATTGTGAATGCCACGATTAATTCTTCGTATATTTGGCATGAGTGCTTGGTATTACGTTTGACAAAGAACATGAGGTTGCAATCATTGATTGATGATCGTGAGTATGAAGATTTGCTTGAGTTTGCTAAGTGGATTGCGAGTTTAGGGGACGGGATTGTTGGGGAAGATAATGATGGTTTTGCAAATGTTCAGATTCCAAACGAGTTTTTGCTAGAGTGTGGAAGCGACCCCATTGCCACTATTGTCCAAAACACCTACCCAAACTTTGAGAGTATTATGAATGACCCGACTTCTAGCTCCAACCCTTGATGTTGTCGATGCAGTTAATGAATACATGACTTCTATGAATGTTAATGAAGAGTCAAGGACATATCTAAGTTCAGATATCATTTGCAAGTCAGACTCGAATGCTGATTTTATGGCTGATTTGCATACTCCAGAGTTTCTAAACAAAATACGTGCATCCGGAGTCCCAAACCATGAGTTGACCCTAAAGGTTGGTACTCCAATAATGCTTTTAAGGAATATTGATCCTTCCATGGGGCTTTGCAATGGAACAAGGTTAATTGTTACAAGACTTGGAAATCATATCTTAGGGGCAAAAATTATGGGCGGGAAATATGTCGGGCATGAAGTTGTCATTCCGAGGTTAAGCTTAACTCCTTCGGATTCAAGAATACCAATCAAGTTTCAGAGAAGACAATTTCCGGTATTGACCTCTTATGCGATGACTATAAATAAAAGTCAAGGACAATCTTTGTCTCATGTTGGACTTTTACTGAAAAAGTCGGTCTTCACACATGGTCAGCTGTATGTTGCAGTGTCAAGGGTAACAAATCCTAAGGGTCTGAAGATATTAATTTGCGATGAAGACGGTCAATCAACTAACCATACCAGCAATGTAGTTTATAAGGAAGTTTTTCGTAATGTGTAGTTTGTGAAGTCCTGTTACCGTTTACTTTTTCCAACTTATTCCAAATATACTTACTACTTATCTCTGAGTCTTTGTTATCCGATCTTTAATCATAATTTAGTATACGTGTTAAGTGTATGACAATTTGCTTTCGTTTCACTTAGCCAAATAGCATTTACAAATAATGTCGTATCACTATTACATTTTAATATTCCGCGCATCGCGCGGGTGAGAATCTAGTACTAAATCAAATCAAAAGATTTTGTTTCAATTTTAGAATGATTATGCATAAATCTTCCGGGAGGACATGGAGGAAGAGGAGGAGGAGAAATAAGAAGAAAACTTACCTGTAGTGTCGTCCGTCGATGGCCAGAGATGGGTCATGTAGCGTCTGCGATCAATTTATTCTTGTCTTTAATCACTAAAGCGATGCCGTTTGGATCGGCACACGTCACGCACGGTGGGCCGATCCCACAGTATAATTTATGTTATTGGAGTATCAACTTGATAGAGAAATACCGAATACAAATACGTAGCCAGCAGATGGGGCGTTGGCCCGACCCGATGCTTGATAGACATTCTCCCCCAAAAATGCGCTTGCTGAAACAGAACACATAAAAGAAAGCTTGATCATAAGAAGCGCACGTTAACTGACGCCACCGACCCAAGGCTCACGTTAGCGCCTATCCATGCACTTTTCACTTCTGTCTACGCATGTCCCCCTTTCTTTCTCCCCATACGTTCTTCTTCCTCCCTATCCCTTATCTATTCCCCCGATTAGGGTTAGGGTTCTCTGGCTTTTTATCCCTCTTCACTTTCTCCGTTTCTGGATATTCTCGCAGCCAATTCGAATTTACATTATTTATGACTTCATCCCAGATGCTTAACTCCCATCAGCTACTGTAGTTCATGGATGCGAAGAAGCGTCTTTCATACTCCAATTTGTTCAACCTAGAGGTACGCGGACTGATTTTTCTAATGTTGAATGGGTTGTATTTAATTGGTGCAGGCCGTGCAGTTGTGCTGGCTGATTCCCAAAGTTTAGTTGTTTTTATGGCGAAAATTTCATTTTTCATGCATTTGAGATGCTATTTTTTCTTCAAATTTCCTAATTTTCCTTGGACTCCAAAACAGACATTTTATACTTGAAGCAAAAATGTGTTTCTAGCTAATTGTGTTGACATGAGGTTTGCTAAGAACTGTAAATATCTTGTATTTCTGCTACATCTTCAAAATTTGATTGTTTTTTATTTTATTGTATTTGTTGTAGTCACTGGTGAACTTTCAGCTTCCACGGGGCGATGATGATGATGATTTTGATTACTATGAGAGGAGCAGCCAGGACGAGAGCAGAGCTAGCCAAGGTGATCACATTGACACTAATTTATTACTACATATTTGTAAATTTTTTCCAGTTGTTCTTTGGTTAATTACCTCATTGCATGATTTAGGATTCACTTCTTCCAAATTCGCCCACTCGTTCATCAACTGTGTGAAGTTACATTCACATGCTGGCAGTATTCTTCTTTTGCAATAGTATGCACCATGCACTTATATTTGTTTTGCTTTATTTCATTTTTATGCACTTTCATTGGGCAGATTTCATGTCGTTTTTATAGGTGGAGTGGTGGGGGAACGGAATAATGGAATGCTCTCTGGGCGGGAATTGAAGAAGAGGCGGACTGCATATAGTAGTGAAGAGGACGAAGAGAGAACACATACTACATATATCTCAGAGGAAAAGTATAGAGCAATGCTAGGAGAGCACATTCATAAATATAAGAGGAGGCCTGGTACATCCACATCAAATGTCACATCAACACGAACTGTGATGCATAATGCAAAAAACAGTCTAGGGCTCAAGGATGTGGAACTAAAAAGTGATCATCGAGGAGGACTGTATAAACTGGACTCTGCCCCAGATTTTCTAAGCAAAAGTAATTCACAGAAATCAGGAAACCAATTGCAGTCTGACGTATCAAAGTTTGTGGTTGATAGGCATGCTTCTCTTTCAAAGCAAAAATAATTCACACTTATTTAACTGTGGTGCTGATATTTTTTGAAGTTATTTTTATCATTTATCCTACCATGTTAATACTTTAAAGTTTTACAGATCGAATTATGAGCCCGCTTTCTTAGATATGGGAGGAGGAAAGATTTATAGCATCCCTCCTCCTTATGAAAAGCTGGCTGCAGCATTGAACTTGCCTAGCGTATCAGATGTTCAAGTGGATGAAATTTACCTTCAGGGAACTCTTGATTTAGAGACATTGGCTGCAATGATGACTTCTGACAAGAGGTTTGGGCTCAGAACAAACGGAGGAATGGGTGATCCTATACCCCAGCATGGATCCCTACAGGCAAGGCTTAAATCTCAGTTGAATGGCAACTCAGACCCAAAATTCAATCTTAAAGTCAGTGAAGCTGCATTGGAGGCATCTTCTATCCCTGAGGGGGCAGCTGGGTCCATACGACGTTCCATCTTGTCAGAGGGTGGTGTTTTGCAAATTTTCTATGTTAAGGTGTTGGAGAAAGGTGACACATATGAGGTAAGTTATATATTTCAGGCATTATAAATTGTCTATTTCTTTAATAGGCAGTAGGGTCTTTGATTGTTACTTGCGTGTATGGGGATGCATGTACAGATTATTGAACGTGCTTTGCCCAAAAAGCCAAAGGTGGAGAAAGACCCTGCTGCGATTGAGAAGGAAGAGATGGAGAAAATTGGAAAGTATTGGGTGAATATGGTTAGGAAAGACATCTCAAAACATCACAGACTCTTCACTAATTATCATAAGAAGCAGTTTACTGATGCCAAGAGATTCTCAGAAACATGTCAAAGAGAGGTAAGTCCAACAGATTTCGTTGTTGGAAGTACTTTCATTATTTTGGGATGGTCTAAATTCATATGACTATTAAAACTTAGAGAAAAGGGGCAAATATGTCCTCCAACTATTAGCGATTCCTCAATCAGACCCCTGAGCCAAAAGACCTTGCAAATACACCCCTCGACCCATTGAAATAAAGCAATCAGATCCTTTTTACCTACTGGTGTTGGTAACTTTTCAAGAGAAAGTTACCGTCTTACCATCACCAATGAGGCAACGAGTAAAAAAGGATCCAATTGCTTTATTTCAATGAGTCTGAGGGGAGTGTTTTCAAGGTCTTTCTGTTCAAGGGTCTGGTTGCAGAATTGCTAATAGTGAGGGCTTATTTGCTCCTATTCTCTAAAACTTATGGATGTGTCATGTTAGAATTACATGGCGTCTGTGTCTCATCATTCAGTTTGCTTTCAGTGTCTACCTTTGAGCTAGAATGCTTCCTTCTTTTCCAGGTAAAATTGAAGGTTGGAAGATCGCTTAAGATTATGAGAGGTGCTGGAATTCGTACCAGGAAACTGGCGAGGGACATGTTGGTATTTTGGAAGAGAGTTGACAAGGAGATGGTACCTTCCTTCTCTATTTTGCCTATTTGTGCATTTTCATCTAATTGTACTTCACATTCACAAAACTGTTTCTAGACCAACTCTCTAAAGCTTGCTTAAAGCCTTAAATATTACCGGCCATGCATTTTATCATGATTAGTTGAATTACTGAATTCAAATTTGGAATACTTTGGTGGAAAATCCTTTTATAAGGTGTTTCTCTTATGCTCCCTCCGTCCCAAATTAAGAGTTCTGTAAGCATGTTTTGTCCCAAATAAAGAGCATCACTTTGATCAACTATAGCGACTATTTCACGTGATTTGCCAAGAAAAGGGTTAGAGACAAGCCACATATGATAAACTTATTTAGTCAAAACCAAGAAATAAATTTTTAAAATAGGAATTTGGTTTATGGTTTATGAATACTGTACCTCTCTAAAAAAATAAAAGCTATACGTTTGTCAAGTTGACAAATTGTTATCACCGAAATAAAATGGTTTATTGATTTTTAATGGGATGCAAGTAGTGCTTGCTTCTGTAGTAAAGAACTTTGCCAATGCTAAAATAACCCCATCAATTATCATGCAGGCTGAAGTGAGGAAGAGGGAGGAAAAAGAGGCTGCAGAAGCCTTGAAACGTGAACAAGAGCTTCGTGAAGCAAGGAGGCAACAACAAAGGCTCAACTTTCTGCTGTCACAAACTGAACTTTACAGTCACTTCATGCAGAACAAGCCGACTTCACAAGCCACAGAGGCTTCGGCGGATGAAAGTGGAATAGCAGATGACAAAGAAGTGCTGTTGACTTCTGCTGAAGCTCAGGCTGGAGAGGAAGAAGATCCTGAAGAGGCTGAAATGAGAATGGAAGCTCTGAAAGCTGCTCAAAACGCTGTTTCAAAGCAGAAAATGATGACAAGTGCATTTGATAGTGAAATCTTGAAGCTGCGGCAAGCTTCTGAAATTGAGAACTCCCAACCAGATAATTCAGTTTCGGGTTCTAGTAACATAGATTTGTTGCATCCGTAAGTTTGTGGAATCCTCTTGTAGCTATCTTGTGTTAATTCATCTTGACATTGTTTGTACTTTTTTCCTGTGATATTATGGCATATTAAAAGCATCTTGATGTCAGGTCCACAATGCCTGTAGCATCCACAGTGCAGACACCAGAGTTATTCAAAGGTACCCTAAAAGAGTATCAGCTGAAAGGTCTTCAGTGGCTTGTTAATTGTTATGAACAGGTATTATATTGCCTTCTCTAAATTCCTGTATATGCTTCTTTCATGTTGACTTAGCTAGTCCAGTTGTGTGTCAGGGTTTAAATGGCATTCTTGCTGATGAAATGGGTCTTGGGAAGACCATTCAAGCCATGGCATTCTTGGCTCATTTGGCAGAAGTAAGCACTTTAATTGATAGACCATTCATTCATGTGAATCGCCAATTAATTACTATGATTTTCTCTACAGGAAAAGAATATATGGGGGCCATTTTTGGTAGTTGCTCCTGCTTCTGTCCTGAACAACTGGGCTGATGAGATTGGTCGTTTCTGCCCTGATCTAAAAACACTTCCATATTGGGGCGGTCTGCAAGAGAGAACGGTACTTAGGAAGAATATTAACCCCAGACGTCTTTATCGACGGTAAATCTCATTCCCCACATTAATGGCTATACTTTTGTTGCTGAATGGAAATTGGAAAAAAGTCACTGGTTATGATTTTTAAGTAGTTCCTACTTTTAGTTTTAATCACTGTAAACTAGTAGCTGAATAACACAGTTGTAAGGGCAATAGGGCATTCCTTTGGTTATATACTGATGTGTGATTGATTCAAGTATTTGAAAAAAAATAGTGGAGATGTTTGCTGAAAGATTGTCACTTGAAAGTTTTAAATCTTAGCTGTCACTCATTAGAAGTTTAGAATTCATCAGGGAGAAATCTTGAAGCTAGTATGCTAAAGTCGAACAAATATGTTGTCTCTACCGTTCGAACCCCTCACCCTCTATGCAGTTCGAGTGTTAGACGTATTGATGTGTGTTCAATTTCTATAGAGGTGTTTGCCGAAGTTGGGAGTTCTCTAATTTAATCTTATAAGCATCGGGGCTGATAGTTGTTTACACTCTTTCCGAATTTCCTCTCTAACAGTGGAAGGGTTTTTATCAAGTATATTGATAGAGAGCAGGAAGAGCATGAGGCGGGAATGGGCTTGGGCGCACTTCCGTGGGCCGGTTATGCGCTGGGATTATATCATTATAGTTTTATTTATTATTATAAAGTAGAGTATTTAGTAGAGTTAATATGGGCCTATTTAGGATTTACTTAATTTGGGCTCGATTAGGGTTTCTCTTGAGTCTGTCATTAGAAGGTTATTTAAACCCCTTGTAGGATTCATTCTTCATCATCTTGGAATAAAGTTGGATTTCAGCCTTTTGGCGCTGGGCAACGATTTCTATCGTTGATTATCTGGGAAACGGTTTACCCTGTTGATTTTATTTTTTTGTTCTCAACAATTGGTCCGACCTGCCGGATCCCGTCCTGCCAGAATGACACGATCTCAGAATGATCGCCCGACAGAGATGGAGGCCGAGCAAACTCGGATGAATCAAACCCTAAAGGAGCACGACATGCGTCTGGCAGAGATCGCTGCATCCCTGGCCGCGCTTACCAAGGCGCTCGTTCCGCCGGTCACGACGGAATCAAGCTCGGAAGTAGTCGGAAGCATCGCCGTAACTGCTCGTAGCGGCGACAAACTACCGTGCAGCATCGCCCCAACCCTCTTGCCGACCTTCGACAAGGAAGACCCGATGGGTGGATAGCTCAGGCTGAACAACAGTTCGAATTGAACGTAACCCTACCAGAAAGAAAGGTGGCAGCCGCTGTGGTTGCCATGGAAGGTGGGGCCCTCTATTGGGTAACCTTGGCGACAAGCATGCAAACCCGGCATGACTTGGGAAGAATTTAAGCAAGCTTTGGTGACCAGATTCGACTCCCGATTTAAGGGGATCAGGTTTGAATGGCTGTCCGGCACCAAACAGATTGGATCAGTGGAGGACTACAAGACCCTGTTTGTTCAATTGGCCAGCCAAGTTCCGGGATTGTCGGATGATCATTATTTGGGCTACTACATGAATGGACTGAAAGAATCAATCCGCAGGCCGCAGCTCGCTGCTCTTATTTCGACCGAATAACTTGGAAGAGACCATGGAATTTTTTCACGATGTGGAGCACAATCTGTCTGTTCAGAGTGGAGGAAGAGGCAGTCCAAAATATAATCCTACAGGGACACGTTCCAGCAGCTTTTCACTGCCAAACACGGGTCCTCCATTGACTGCCAGTGGTGGCAGTATACAGGGATCGAATGGCAGCTTCCTGAAAGATAGTGGGCAGCCCCCGGGGGACAAAGTCAGGGCTGTCCGGGCAGTCTACTGCATGCTCTCAGTTCACTTGACTTTCGCCGAAGGAGTTAGAAGAATTGTGGGCAAAAGAATTATGCTTTAGGTGTAAGAAACCATTTACACAAGGGCATGACTGCCCCTTTAAGCAGTTACGGGTAATGATAGCTGAGGAGGATGAGGAGTTGGACCTCCAACAACATAGTGAAATAACCAGCCAGGAAAAGTTCAGAAAGGTCAGGGGGGTTCGGAAGGAGATGAAGGATATTTTGAACCTATGGCTGGAAATTTCAGCCCTTGATCTCCGAGATTTCAACCTTGAGGACAAGGTTATTTTGAAGGAGGATGGATTGATAGAGAACAGGAAGAGCATGGGGCGGGAACGGGCGTGGGGCCGTGGGCCCACTCCCTTCGGCCGGTTATGGGCTGGGATTATAGTTTTATTAATTATTATAAAGTTTATGTTTTGTTTTTAGTTTGGGCCTATTATTAGTAGAGTATTTAGTAAAGTTAATATGGGCCTAATTAGGATTTACTTAATTTGGACTCGATTGGGGTTTCTCTCGAGTCTGTCATTGGAAGGTTATTTAAACCCCTTGTAGGATTCACTCTTCATCATCTTGGAATAAAGTTGGATTTCAGCCTTTTGGCTTTGGGCAACGATTTCTATCGTTGATTATCTGGGCAACGGTTTACCGCGTTGATTTTATTTTTCTGTTCTCAACATAGATTCATGATGGACTCTGCAGTTGCTGAAGGTTTTCTTGGCTAAACTTATATTCTTTAATGATGTTTTTGATATTGCTCGCTAGGGATGCTGGATTCCACATTCTCATTACCAGTTACCAACTTCTAGTTTCTGATGAGAAGTACTTCCGACGTGTCAAGTGGCAATATATGGTGTTGGACGAAGCCCAAGCAATTAAAAGCTCAACAAGGTTCACAATCTACTCTCAACATGCCTTTTTTACCCTTGAACATTTCTTTTTGTTTTAAAGAGAGGTTTTTTAAAAAAACCCTCTAGTAAAGTATTATACTCAGTTTATTTATATATAGAGGATTCACTTTACAGTTCACACATATTTGTAATTATCTATTGTTCTGTCAGTGTCTCTTCTTAATTCTTCTTTGTGCTATGTTCTTCTAAGAGCATGTCTTTATAGGCTGCTTCCACTATCTTTTGGTTTGTATGTATGTGGGTTTATGTACAACACTTCCAGCATCTATAAGGATTTAATGTTTCATTGTTTCTTTTATCTCACTTTATTGTCTTTGACTTCGGATTGACAGTATAAGATGGAAGACATTACTGAGTTTCAACTGCCGAAACCGCTTGCTTTTGACTGGTACTCCAATCCAAAACAACATGGCTGAGCTGTGGGCTCTCCTGCATTTCATTATGCCCACTTTATTTGATAGCCATGAGCAATTCAACGAGTGGTTCTCAAAAGGGTAAGCTTTTTATGTTGGTATTTTTTTTTGAGTTGTCATGTAAGTATAGAAACTTTTTTTCATTTGTGTGTGCATTATAACCAGAATCGAGAACCATGCCGAGCATGGTGGGACCTTGAATGAGCACCAGCTTAATAGATTGGTAAGCATGCTTAATTTCTATAAATTTCAATATCTGAATATCATCATGGGTATTGGCTATTCTTTAGACCTTTATCTTATCCGAAGTAGGCGAGCTACTAGATCAATTAGACAAAGGCCTATTAGATATATAACTTGTATGGTTTAAAACTAATGCTCTGTATATTGAAAACAGCACCTCCCATTAACATGCTTGCCGAAGTAACTGCATGTGCAGGTGTGCTTCAGCTGTGTCCCTTATATATAGTGTGACTTTCAACCTGAAAAATTTATGCTACAAATTAGTCTAGCAATTCTCAGTGAGGAGTGATCTGTGTAGTTATCCCATCCCCATGCCATCTGGGTGATTTTTAGTAGTTGCTACACACGAAATATACTAATACTTGGTGCACAGCACCTGCAGTTGATAAGCTTTATTCTGTTCGTTACACACTTAAACCCAAATTCATTTGCCCAAGCAATAATTTTGCACCATTTCCCTGAGATAATTTTTATGTTTCCCTGATTTAACATGATCCCGTAATAAAAATATAGTTTTCGTATAATGTCAAAACATATTGCAATGATGTAATGTTCTTCCATGCTCTATATATCTCACACTCTAATATATCCACCCCCTCATGTCCCTTTTGTTTGGTGCAGCATGCAATTCTGAAGCCCTTCATGTTGCGGCGGGTTAAGAAAGATGTAGTTTCAGAGTTAACTGGAAAAGTTGAAGTAACAGTGCATTGTAAGTTGAGTTCGCGGCAGCAGGCATTTTATCAAGCTATAAAGAACAAGATATCCCTCGCTGAATTGTTCGACAGCAGCCGTGGGCATCTTAATGAGAAAAAATTAATGAACCTAATGAATATTGTCATCCAGCTGAGGAAGGTGACAGTTTTTTCCCTAGCCTGTCATTCTTTGCACATATGTGGGTTACGTAATTTATTGAGCATATATGCAAAACTCTAACTGCGTTCTATTCAATTTGTAATGATAGGTTTGTAATCATCCGGAGTTATTTGAGAGAAATGAGGGAAGCACTTTTTTCTACTTTGGGCAAATTCCAAATTCACTTCCTCCTCCTCCATTTGGGGAACTGGAAGATGTCTATTATTCTGGTGAAGGAAGTCCTGTTACATACCAGGTATACAAGATCCGTAATTTTTGTGTCCATTTTTCTTCCTAGAAAATCATTTAGATTCCCACCTGTGCTCTATTTTTTAGTCTTATTTTCTTAACTATTATTATATATTTATATTTATATATGTGCATTGTTTAATTATTTGTCCAACTTCTATAAATTGAAATATCATTTTATCCTGTTGCTATCAAGCAGATATATATTGTTTTTACATTTGTGATCTTAAGTTAAAACTTAAAGCACTGGATTCACGAGTGGTCCTCCCAACCTAAAGGTTATTTGTATGATTATTTTTATTTTATAGTCACGGTTTGGGGAAACTCAAGAATATTCATGACACAAGTATAGAGTGAATGGCCATTATATTTGCCTGTAGTCCCTAATTGTTTGTTTGGTTGCCATGAGATTACCATCCGACTGGAACCGTTTTCGTATGGTCTTTTCTTGGGAAGAATATTGGGCCCAATTGTTATCGTTTGGTTTACAGTGAGTTGTGCCCACAGTCATTATTAATCATGTTTACTCTCTCTGTCCTACAAACATGGCCATATTGACTTCTCTTTGTCAATGGTGGTCAAGTTTGACCAACTATATTTGCCAATTCGAAGTTATTACCATTGCTCAAGAAAAGTCAATTTGGCCAAGTTTTGTGGGACGGAGAGAGTATTATTTTACAATTTTTATTTTTATTTTGACTCTTGAGGCTTCTTTTGTTATTCTTTCCTTGGAAACCCCTCATCACACTAGTATAGTTCATAAGTTCAAGGCACACCCACAATGGGGTGGAAATGTGGAATCAGTAAATGTGATCCTCTGTTTAGCTGTTTCACGTTGATTCATGTTAGCTGACCCCAAGCTCACTCTTCTTCGATCATTCTCAGATGCCAAAGATGATCTTCCAAGAAATCCAGAACTCAAATAAGTTTTGCTCTATGATGGGGCATGGTATGAGTAGAGAGTTATTTGGTAAATACTTCAACATATTCTCTCCTGAGAATATTCATAATTCTGTATTCAGACCAACTCAAAAGCCTGATGATTATCATATAAAAAGCGGAACATTTGGGTTCACCCGCATGGTTGATCTGTCACCTATGGAGACATCATTTTTGGCAACTTGTTCTTTCATGGAGAGATTATTGTTTTTAATAATTAGATGGGACAGACTATTTTTGGATGAAATGTTGGATGTGATGGAGAGAGAGGATGGTGAAATCTTTTCCAGTCACATTGGACGGGACAAAGTGAGAGCTGTCACACGCATGTTACTTTTGCCATCAAAGTCAGAGGCAACTATATTGAAGAAGAGATTAGAAGCTGGTCCTGGTGATGCTTCATTTGAGGCTTTAGTCGTGCCATATCAAGACAGGCTCTTGTCTAATATTGATCTTCTACATGCAGTATATTCTTTTATTCCAAGGGCCAGGGCACCCCCAGTAAGTCATAATTTATGCAGCAATTCTAAGCAGATACGAAAAGTTGACATTAATATGTGACATAACTAGGCATTATATTTTCTTTGGGTGATGATAATGTGGCTTTCTTTCTCATCACTAATTGAATATATGTCACATAAGTTTGTGACAAATTAATCACTTTTCTATGTCCCACAAGATTTTTTGTAATTTATTTGATTGTTCACTTGTTCAATATGCAAAAGCAATGGATCACAAACACCATTTTTTTGTAGATAAATGCAAATTGTTCCGACAGAAATTTTGCTTACAAAATGGTTGAAGAACTACATAATCCATGGATTAAAAGGTTATTTGTGGGATTTGCACGAACATCTGATTATAATGGTCCTCGTAAGCCAGGAATCCCACACCCTTTGATACAGGAGATTGACTCTGAACTTCCAGTATCACTTCCTGCGCTTAAGCTTACATACAAAATTTTTGGCTCATCTCCGCCCACACAACCATTTGATCCTGCTAAGATGCTCACGGTATGTGTGCCTGCCTTTATGATATCTCATCTCTCCATCTAAATTAAAGTATCTAATCTAGGAATGCGTTTTCAGGATTCTGGCAAGCTTCAGACGTTAGACATATTATTGAAACGACTTCGTGCTCAAAATCACCGAGTTCTTCTCTTTGCACAAATGACAAAAATGTTGAACATTCTAGAGGTATTTAATGCATGTTCAAATTTGTAGTTTTGGCTTTCTAGGCTTGTCTATTTGCTACTTGCATGATAGTGTCAGTAGTCGGAAATCTCATGCATAATTTTATAGAAGTATATATCCCTTATTCCCTTGTCTCGGTCATGCGTTTACACCCAATAGCTTGCTTGTCTGGGGGTAAGGGAACAAGGGTCCAAGTGTTGTTGGCTAATAAGGCATCATATTCAGTTTTCATGGCCTCAAACCATTGAGGTGAAGAGAGAGCTTGCTTAACTGACTTGGGCTCAGTATGAGCTAATAGTAGTGTGGGATAAGTCTAGGTTTAACTATGCCAGACTTGGCTCTAGTTCTCATAGGATATAAGTTTGTTCTTATTGTTGTGGCTTTGGTTTAGTTAGTTGAGCTGTCAGCTTATAAATACCCTGTACTCACTTTCAATATTGAATAAGATCAGTTTGTTATCTCTCAATATTCTTCCATCTGCTTAGTTTCTATTATGGTATCAGAGCTTCGCTCGATCCATTAATGGTGATCACGATGGAAACCTCCTCCAATTCTTCTACCTCAACTGGAGCATCTGTATCTCCAGTCACCTTCACACATCCTCTCCCCGTAAAACTTGATTCTAACAACTTTCTCTTCTGGAAACATCACGTCGAATCAGTTGTACGAGCACACAAACTACTTCGGTTTCTTGTCAAACCTGTTATTCCAGATCGTTTTGCCAGTCGCGATGATGAAATTAATGGAATCGAGAATGATGCGTACATCACCCGGGAACAACAAGATCAGATGTTGTTTTCGTGGCTCCTTGCGTCATTATCTGAGTCGTTTCACGCTCGAGTCATTCATTGCAAACATTCGCACCAGCTTTGGACTGAAATCAACAAACATTTTTCCATTTGTTAAATTTGATAGTCTCAGTCTTATTTATTTTTTCCCATTTGTTAAAGCTTAATGTACAAATTTCTTTTAATTATTGTTAACTGTTTCCACATTTTATTTTCATCTTTTGTTTGCATAGTATTATTTTCCATAAGTTCTAAAGCATAATGGCTCTTTAATGTTATTATATATATACTATATATATTTATATATATGTATCCTCTTTTCTAAAGCTGTAAAAATTATATTCCTTCTTCTCTCTGTTCATGTTTGTCAAGTAACTTTATCTGTTTCCATTTATACATAAAGGTAGACTAAAAACCTTATTTATTAGACATTCACAATTGCAAGAAGAGTTTAAAATAAGCGTGCCTTGGTTGATGGTTATGTGAAAATAGACTTTTTTTTCCCTCTTTGAAAAAAAAACAAAATAAACATTAATGTAATCATTTTTGTGACAGGATTATATGAACTACAGAAAATATAGATACCTAAGGCTTGACGGGTCCTCCACAATAATGGATCGTCGAGACATGGTTAGAGATTTCCAGCATCGGTAGGTATTGCTGAATTACAACAGTGATTTTGGAAGGCTTTAGAGGGCTTAGTGTACATCTTCGTACATATATTAACACATTATGTGATTATATAACATTTCAATAACCTTGTGTTGGTTTTTAGAAACACTATATTATCAAGGTACAATCTAAAATAGTCCAAATCATTCCCCTCCGAATCCTTCCAAAACTTCATCAGAACCAACCCTAGAGTCACGTTCATTGATACTGACCGTTGAAAAAATTTTCACTGCAGGAGTGATATTTTTGTTTTTCTGCTTAGTACTAGAGCTGGCGGACTGGGTATCAATTTGACTGCAGCTGACACTGTCATATTCTATGAAAGTGACTGGAATCCAACCCTTGATCTTCAGGCAATGGATAGAGCTCACAGGCTAGGTCAAACTAAGGAAGTAAGGTTCATTATTCTTGTTGTTGGCTAGGCTTTTGAGTTATCATATCTTTTTTCTATGCAGGAGTTTTATATTATATTCAGATTTGCACAGTAAGAGCTTATGTATTGTTCATGAAGGAATTGCAGCCTTTGTAAGTAAGGGTACATTTGGTACTCCAGAAATACCAGGGGAAGAAATAGGGACAGATGAGAATAGAGGGGAAATTCAGAAAGAAATAAACTTGTGACAAAGATGGCTTCAAACTCCAGAAATCAATTTTTCGATATCTGTTCAAACTCACTGTATTTATAGATTGTATACAAGGACTAAGAAATCTAAATATATGTGCAATTATAAAAGAGATCAACTTAACAATTTATTGTTATAGTGTGTGAGGAAACAAATGCTCGTATTGCAGGTTACTGTCTATCGCCTGATTTGTAAAGAGACGGTTGAAGAGAAAATATTGGTGAGGGCCAGTCAGAAAAACACAGTTCAGCAGCTGGTGATGACGGGAGAACATGTTCAGGGTGAACTCATGGCTCCAGAAGATGTTGTCTCATTATTACTTGATGATGCCCAACTTGAGCAGAAATTGAAAGAAATTCCACTTCAGGTTTCTTTATGGCTCCAAACCTTTTGTTTATTTTTTGTTTTTTTGTTGGGAGTCCCAACAAATCCAGATCTAGGTCCAGGAGTACCTGCAATGTTTGATTCATATTTCTTTAAATGGATTTTCTGTAGGTGCCGACAAATAAATAATTTTTCTTTCTTTCTTTCTTTCTTGTCAGGCTAAAGAAAGGCAGAAAAGGAAAGGTGGAGGAGCCAAGGGCATAAGGGTCGATGCAGATGGGGGTGTGTTTTTGGAAGACATTTCAGCCACCGCTAATGGTGAGTCCACCGCTGACCTTGACAAAGGGAAGTCAAGTAAAAAGGTGAATATCAACTCCCCTCACGGAATATAATTCCCAAGGGAATGATTTATTGAATTCCTCATTAAAAGTTTCCATTTTCATAAACCCAAACACTGCATTATTCTTGGTCACATTAGATCTGGGATTTAGTTGATAAGCATATATACTGTGGGCTATTTGTTATTATGGTTTTAGTTAATCATAAATATCATATTATGAATGTGCAGAGAAAATCTTTCACTAGTGACAAACAAATGGCAGCTCCTCCGAAAGCAGCAAGGCCTCAAAAGGCTACTCCCAAGAATGTGGAGTACACACCTCCCAAGTCCATAGCAGTGGATGATGAGATGGATGATGATCCTCCTCCCTCAAATGAAATTAAAGAACAAAGACCGTCAAAAAGGCTGAAAAGGCCTACAAAGAGTGTGAATGAGACTCTTGAGCCTGCATTCACTGCCTCCTCACCGTTGGATGATAATCTAAAACTACCTCTTCCTTCTGATCCTACTTCTGCTGCCTGAAGTTAATATAAGTTGTCATTTGCTTCCCAACTGAAGCTGATGTGGCAGAACGAAGAAGCAAGGCGGATTTTTCAGCTTCAGATGAAGGATGGTGGATTGTATAGAAATGTTGTGTATAGTTTCTTTTAGTGGCCTGCTAGGCCTGTCCGTGTACTGGGGGCGGGAGCGTGGTGGGGATAATTGAAATATAAAAAGAAAGGCTGTGTAGTTATGTACAGTAGAGCACACGAGGGCCTGTTTCGGCTGATTTAGTTGCCCATTTTTTAACACCAAAGCTATTTACTAGTTAGATAACAACATACGAGCATTATGTCAGGTACTCAGTCAGGAGCAACATAAACAAGCACGAATCCGTGTCCATTTGGAACACTTGACTGATTGGTAGCCGTTGATTAATATACTTTTGCTTTAATATGGCGTTGAACTTGCAATATTATGACTTCTAGAGGCTTATAATTCATTCATATAATCATATACAAAGACATTAAATGGATTATACACTTATGTCCGGATGCGGTTCTGAGTTGAGCAGTTTATGCTAGGCTTGGACTCGGGTCGGACCTGGCCGGGCTGCCTGTTCCGTATCCATAGGCCTGAGACCGGCTCGGCTCTTGACCGGTTCCGGTTCATTTTTTTTATTCTTATTTATTTCACCCCCACCCCCAACCCCCCAAACCCCTCGGAAATACCCATCCCAGCCCAACTAACCCCAGCCCAAATAAAAAAATATAAAAAAAGCCCGAACCGGGCCTGGCCTGGCTGGGCCGGTTCCCCTTTTCCCTTACCCGTGCCCGGAACCGGTAGACCCCGGGCCTAGGCCTGAACCGGAACCGGACCCGGTTTCCCGGGCTGGGCCGGTCCCGCACAGTAGCGGGCCGGGCCGGTTCCCGAGCCGGGTGGCCCGCATCGAGTCCAAGCCTAGTTTATGCCCATTTTTTTCTTTTCTGATTCATTTCTTTCTATTTTCCCTCTTTACCTCCGTCTCTCTTTCTGGTTTGTTCTTTTGCCCCTACAAACCTTCTCCCCCTTCCTTTCCTCCCCCTTTCCCTTTAGTCAAGACTCAACAAGAACCCAAAATCATGATGAACATGGTCGATTTCACCTCCATGTCCTCTAAAATCATGCAGCGTTGCCAGTAATACACCTTGCATTAGATCACAATAATCGCTGGTCGACTCTTACTATGTCGCCCCCCAAAGCTCCACTTTTGCTGTTGAAATATGCACTCCTCAGTCCGGCTGTGCCATTGCCATCCTCGCCATGCACTGTTGACATCACTCGCCACCATTTTCACTCGTGCGGTTGTTGTGCCCTACTCCATTGCCGGGACCGACCATTCATCTGCAGTAGCGGAAGATTGAGAGGTAGATGAACAAAGAAAACGACTGTGGCAGGAGCCTGATCTGTCACCACCCTCGCCCTGCGCCGTTGACATTGCCGGTTACCATTTCCACTCATGTGGCCGTCGTACCCCCACTAGACGCCAAAACCAACAATTCATCTGCTGTAGTGGGAGATTGAGAGGTAGATGAACAAAGAAGACTACTCTGGAAGGAGCTTGAGCCTCGTCATCACTGAGTCTTGCAGCGCTGCTGTCCCCTCAATACTAGCTTGAGCCTCATGGCTGAAGTTCGAAGATGAAGGGGAAGGGTGGGGGTGGGGGAGCGAAAACGAAGAAGAAAAATAGTAATAATAGCCATATGAAAAGGCCGCATAAGCATAATAACAGACTAATCAGTCATTAACGAGCCAGTTTAGATATTTGAGAATTTTTGTTAACATTTAGGCATTTAGCCATCCATATCGAGGGATTGAATGAGTATTTTTTAGTTTGAAGGAAATTGACTCTTTTATATAGTTTGATGACCTATTTGATAATTTTTGTTCATTCTAAAAAAAAACTTATATAAGCAGGGGCGTAGCTATGGAGGGGCCAACGCTGGCCCTGGCCCAGCCCAAATTTAAAAAATGTCTGTATTTTTAGTGTAAAAATTTTGTTTATTTTTTTTTCAAAAATATTCTTTGTACCGGCCCAGTGTCCTGGCTCCGCGCCTCCGCCACTGGATTATAAGTCTATTGAATGATAAAAGTTTTGTTAACTAATAGCACATATTAGCATCCATCTCTAATGGTAACAACTTAATTTTGTACGAATGTACAATAAACACTATCCTTCGTATCGTATTAGTTGCAACATTTTATTTATGAATATATATGAATTATTATTTTTGAAAAATATTGTTGAATTCGTCTCATAATAAAATTTCATAACTATGTTTTTTTACTAATAAAGAGTTACATATAACGATAGTTAAAATTATTTGTTGGCAAACGTAAAAAGGAAATGTTGCAACTAAAAAAGAATCGAAAAAGTATGAATTTTATGCGAAACATGCATGAGTAACAATTAGTTGAGTATTTTATAATAATAGACTAATAGTAGAGTGCTCAATGCATATATCGATATGAGTAGACACTGCTTAGGTGAAAAGAAATGATATAAAAAAGGGGTTAGGTCACAATTATTACTAAAAATTAGCAAATGGACAAAAAAGTTAACTTTCTCTTTAATTTCCAAAAATGTGACTAATTAACATTACGCTTACTAAATTACCCTTGACCCCTAGTGACTTTATCAAACCGTGACCTAGTCCGTCACAGTGACATATCATTCAGTGATCTCCGTCATAGTGACTTCCGCCGACAGTGACTCGTCCAGTGACCCGTCCTCGCCGCCCCACCGCCCACAGTGACTCGTCCCCGCTGCCCCCAGTCACCCGTCCCTGCTGTCGCCAGCGACCCATCCGCCGCCTTCCCCAGTGACCAGTCCCTGCCGCCACCAGTGACATGTCCACCACCAGTGACATGTCCACCACCGCTTCCAGTGATCAGTCCCTGCCGCCTCCAGTGACCATTCCGCCACCGCCGCCGACAGTTACAAACCACCCAAACACCTCCTTGCATCCCCTTCTCCAACTGCACCCTACTCCCCATAGCCTCCTCCCTCACGGCCTTGACCTATCTCCATCGGTGACCTATCCCCCGTCCCCGGTGACCACTCTGCACCGTCACCAGTGACAAGTCCGCCCCGCTGTCAGTGACCACTCCGCACCGTCATCAGTGACAACTCCGCACCATCATCAGTGACAAGTCCACGTCGTCGCCGGTGACAAGTCCGCGCCGCCGCCAGTGTCAAGTCCGCACCGCCGCCAGTGACCTGTCCTCGCCTCTGCCAGTGATCCTTTCCGGCCCTGCCGATGACCAATTCGCGCCGCCGCTAGTGACCACCTCATGCCACCACAGCTGATGATCCCCCGGTGACCAATCTGTCTAGTCCCTTTACTGCAGTCAACCTTCCCCAGCCCCCCACCATCCTAAGCTCGGCTCAAGCCCCTGTCCCAATCCCCAGCCCAATCCTAGCCTCCTCCCAAACCCCTGTACAACCATTGCCCCACCCTTGTAACCCTAACACGATATCAGAAGAAATGAAAACGAGATGAACATAAACTCGACGAAGGACCAATTGAGGATGCACTGATGCACAGAGGCGATGCTCGATGCCCGTAGCTTCGGACTTCGGTCGATTCAGAGCTGGAGAACACTATTAATGAATCGCAGGCGGCGGCGATGGTGAGGCGATTGGCAGGCGGCAAGAAGGGAATGCAATTGGAAGGCGTCAACGATGGTGATGGGATTGGCAGCCGTCGGTGATGCAGGGACAAAGGCGATGGGTAGTTCGCTGGGAGCTATATGGATTTCAAATGTCTGCAACGATGAACATTAGATTTACGGAAAGGGTATTTTGGCCTTTTGAATTCTAAGAGGTCATATTTATGTCCGTATTATTAAGCTGATGTATTTTTGTCCAGCAAGAACGCAGGAGTAGTATTTTAGTCATTTTTTCTATAAAAAACTACTATTATACGTATTTCCTTGGAAAAAACAACTATCAACATTTTTTAGCGATAAAGTATTCTACTCCGTGTACATCTGAGTAAACTATTTATTTCCTTGAAAACGGACTTTCATGTTTAACCGGTGGTGTTAAAATGAAAATGAAGCGCTTGATTTGATTTTTTTGTTTAACGTGAATTGTATGGTGTTCATATACGGTGAGATCATCCCACAATGAACACCGTGCTCCACTTTCAAAACGACGTAGTTTTGCACAATTTTAACTTAAAAAATTTCACGCGTGTACAGTACATTTTTGTTTTGTTTTTTATTGTCCTATGCAGAATGATGTAACTCGCGTGTAAAAAAATGTTACTCACATTGATAAGAAATGTAACTGCACACAAGTCGAAATGTAACTTGTCTATAACATTGATTTCAATGTAAACAATAAAAAAGACTTCAATTGCTTATTTACTTTATCTAAATAGTGCATATATTTTGTTTTTAATACTAAGACCATAAAACGTTTTAAAGAAATCATTTCCCCCCCAAAAAACATTTCTTTTGCAAAAAAAAAAAAACGATAATAAAAAACTATTTTTTGTTTCAATAGAAGAGGTTTATTTTGTGATGTAACTCGTGTTATTAAAAATGCAACTCGCGTACATTAAAATGTAAATCTAGAAAAGTTGAAATCTAAACTATCTTTATATATAAGAAAAGAAATATATGTGTGTGTGTGTATATATATATATATATATATATATATATATATATATATATATATATATATATATATATTACAAACATTGATTTCAATGTAAACAATGAGATATTGATCTCAATCCTCAGTTACTTTTTGTAAATAGTGATTTTTTTTTAATATTAGGGCTATGAAAATGATATAGGGAAAACATCATTTTTTGATCATTAGGAGACGTTTTGGTGTAACTCCTCGCGTACATTAAGATGTAAATCACACATGAACAGATGTAACTCGCGGATAAGAAAATGTAACTTCATATAATATCAAATGTAACAATGAAAAAAGAGTTTAATTGTTCAATTAATTTACTTACATAGTGAATATGTTTTTATTTTTTTGAATATTAGGGTCATAAAAATGTTTTAAATAAAATTCATTTATTTAATTTGCCAAAAAAAATTAGCCAAAAATCTTACATAGTTTTTTGCAAAAATAAAAGATTTTTTTATTCAATAGCATTAATTTATTTTGTGATGTAACTTGTGTTATAAAAAGATGTAATTCACACATAAGAAGATGTAACTCATGCACATGAAGATGTAACTCCATATATTATCAAATCTAACTCCATTAATCAAAGTAAACAAATTGAGTTTAGCTTTTACGACATCAAAAACATTCACTTTTCGTCTCTACATTCATTATTATTTGCTTTTTTCATTTTTCACTACAATTAATCTGCTGCTTTTTCATTTTAAAATAGGTTCCAAAATAATAAATACGTAGTAGCAACTAAAATGCGGAGTATGACAGATTCAAATAAAAAAAGAAGTATGTATC